CAGGTATAAAAATGTCCCATTGGCCACAAGAAATCCCTCAGGTGCTCTGGTGGGTGCTTGCTTAAAACTAACAAGAAGCCTGCACCATCTAAACCCTGCTTGCATCCCCCTAAAGCAATGGTACCTGCAATGGGCATGGAGGGGATCACCATCACACGTAGCTCAGCAACACACATGCAGGCAGAATGACCATGGAGCACTTGGTACTTGCTCGAGGTGCAAAGGATCCTCAGTACATCTCAAGCTACAGAGGTCTATGGCCTCCTAAGCTTGGCTGTGCTAATTGATGTTATGTGCATTTCACTGGGTGATTATGTGCCATTATTCCTAGCAGGGGAATGGTGAGGTTCCCAGTTAAAGAGCAGGATGCTGCTGCTACATACTGTATAAAACCAGACTGAAATCATTCCCCTGTGGCAGAATAAACCACGAAGTAACTATGGATGAGCTGAGAGCAGCAACATTTTGGAAGCAATGAAATGCACAGGGATTTTGGAGGCTGCTCATGGAGGATGAAAGTTGCATTTGCAACATGTTGGCCAGGTATCTCATTAGGAAGGTGCTGCTTCACCCATCAGGGAGCAGACCCGCAGCGCATGACCTCAGCCCTTCATCAAATACTGTACGTGATTAGCACAACCAAGCGGTGGGTGATTAGCTGAAAGAGGTGTTGGAAAATCAAGATGGAAAAACATGTCTTAGTATGGTGTGTCTGCAAGGCAGCGAGAGGAGGGGAGTGCCTGCTCCAGTGCCTGGCTCCTCTGCACCTGCCTGCACCCTGTGCCCATCGCTGCCTCCGGTACTCACAATCCATGAGTGTGAGACACCCCTGCCCCAGGGCTGACAGCTCTGAGATTGGGAAGGGAAGAGACCTCTGGAGAGGGGCTTTGGAGAAGGCCCCGCAGGGACAGGCCAAGGGGAATGGCTTGAACCTGCCAGAGGGGAGGCTGAGATGAGCTCTTAGGCAGAAGCTCTTCCCTGGGAGGGTGCTGAGGTGCTGGCACAGGGTGCCCAGAGAAGCTGTGGCCGCCCCATCCCTGGCAGTGTTCAAGGCCAGGTTGGACACAGGGGCTTGGAGCAACCTGGTCCCTGCCCATGGAACTGGATGAGCTTTAAGCTCCCTCCCAAGCCAAACCAGTCTGCGATTCTATGATTCTCTTGGGCCATGTTTCTCATCAGTAGCACAGGATTCCTTCTAACAAGCCCTCCTACAAGTATTTTGATCACGCTGGTTTAAATCTCATGCACAGAGCCCTTGATTAGGTGCTGAAATCTTCTGGAGACGGCAATCCCTGCCCTGCCATGTGTTTGATGGAGCCTCCGCTCGCTCCCACATTAAAAATAACAAAATTTGTTCTTCTATCAAGAGCTGCAAAAATCTTTGGCCCCAATTCTGCTGATGCCAAGATGATGATGAGGAGATTATATAAAACTCTGTGCTGAAGTATGCCCACCACCTCTCACAGGGTTAGCTCGCGACGGCTGAAGGTGTACGTGGGAGCAAAGTCAAACCTGCTGCATGCAGAACCAGCGCTGCAACAGCTTGAACTTGCACAGGGAGCAGACACAGTGCCTGGAAAGGGGTTGTAGCTTTGGCAGCGTAAAACTGCTCTCATCCTACAAGGCTGATTTAATTGAAATGCACTGGGCTTTCATACATTAAAAGCACAGCCACCTCCCTGACACACAGACAATTAATGCTTCAGGACTGCATTATAAAGCCACCTTTTCGCCTCGCAGTCTTCCTCTCTGAAAGCAAGACATTCTAGAAGGTTTTCTGCAGGGGGGTTGGTGTGTGCTCCTTGAAACGCGCAGCATTAGAATGGGATGATTTTTAGTCTGGGGGAGGGGTTTGGTGTCAGCAGGATATTTGTCACTGGTTTTGCACCCAGTGTAGCTCAGCTAAGGCAACACGTCTCCATCTCAGCTGCATGCAAGGTGCTATCCAAGCCTTGCTCAGCTTGTGGGCAGAAGCAGCATTGGCTTGGTAGAGCAATGCTGAGGAATGAATTTCTGCTTCAAATAGGATCAGAATCATAAAGTCATAGAAGCACACAATTGGGTTTGGGTTAGAAGGGACCTTAAAGCTCACCCAGCCCCAACCCCTGCCACGGGCAGGGACCCCTTCCACTAGAGCAGCTTGCTCCAAGCCCCTGTGTCCAACCTGGCCTTGAGCACTGCCAGGGATGGGGCAGCCACAGCTTCTCTGGGCACCCTGTGCCAGCGCCTCAGCACCCTCACAGGGAAGAGCTTCTGCCTAAGAGCTCATCTCAGTCTCCCCTCTGGCAGTTTTAAAGTCATTTATCCTTGACCTATTGCTGGGAGAATCGTTCCTCTTTTGCTCTAAGAGCCATCTGAAACCAGGTGCAGCAGGAAGAGCCTGTAAAGCTCCTAATAAGCCTCTTAAATCATGTGGTTAAAGAACTCAGAACAAGTGGCTGGAAGCAAAGTTTCTTTATCCTCCTCTCCCCCAGACTGGGCTGTGCAACTGTTGCTTCTGTGCTTTGTGGGAGTGAAATCAAATGTCAGATATTCTGCTTTGGAAGAAGTTGGCAACGAAACATGAAAGGCTCATGGAGAGCTCAAAAGGACTGCGCATAAACTGGAGCGAGGCACAGACAGGGCTGGGATGGGAGCCAGGGGGAGGGGGGGAAGGACTCGCCTACAACCACAACTCCAGATTTTAGGATGAAGCAACTCCTTTCCTAAATGCATTTCAGCATAAAGCTGATCCTGGCTGCTGCTAGCACAGAAGGAAGATGGGCTTCAGACCAAACGTTGCTTCTACTCTTTGTGGGAAGCATCCACACATCCCAGTTTATTCAGCATATTCAGCACAGAGCATCGCGTCTCATCGTGGGTCTGTACCTAACACCAAAAGACCTGCTCCCCATCAGCACTGGGAGCACGCATTCCTCATCTGAATCCCACCGTAGAAACACCTCAGTGTTTAGCACAGCTGCTCTCTGTGTCATTTTACTGTGGCAGAACTGCATTTTGCTCCAGATTTCAAGGCTTCAGAACGCATTTTTACTGCACATTCCCAGTACTTCTGAAGGGCACGTCCCACCCTTTCCCACCAGCCCTCTGAAGCTGGTGGACCTTTCTCCTTCTCTCAGTTCTGACCCCATTTCAATCATCAGGCTCCTTTATATAGCACTGCAGGGAAAATATATTCTACCCTTCACTTTGCTGAACTATCACATTGCCAGGATTAGGGCAGTGGGGTCACAGGAGCTGATGAAATCCATATGTAATGGCATGCCGGGACTTCTGGACCCAAAGCACGCACCTCTACGAGGGCAAAAGGCAAATCCCATAGCATTTCCCGCAAGGAATGAGGGATCTTGTCCCCGTGCTCCTGGAGTCTCCCCAAAGGCGAGTGCTTTGCCAGAGCCGTGGCTGGAAATTGAATTAACGTTCCAGGAATATTCTATTATTTGCTAATTCCCTTCCCTTCGCTTTTTGTTTCACAATTAAGCAAATTAGCACTTTGATGAATATGAAGATGCTCACGCCTCATAAAAGAGGAGCTGGAGGCATTCCCTCTGGATTTTCCTCTGAATGAAAACAGTTCCTCAACTGTTTGAGATACACACTGGATGCTTTCCTCCCCAGTGAGAGCACGAAGGAGCACATGGCTCCTGGAGAAGATGACCACAGCATTAACATTCTAAGTTCACTTCAAAAGTTTGCATAGATCCTCATTATTACCATGTCATCCAAGTCCAAACTGGAACGGGATCCTAAATTTGTGGCCATTAGCAGAAGTGTCTATCACCGAGTTGCTCTAAAAAGCATCAGATGCCTTCTTTGGCCAGAGGGATTCATTCAGTTTAAGTCCTTTAGCAGGTAGAAGACTCTGCACCCTTCTAAAGAATTTATTCCCTGGCCTTAAATCCCTTCATAACCAACTTAAGTATTTCCCAACCTTTTTGTTTTGCTGCAGGTTATCAAAACAGCTTTGCTGGCTTTGGGAGGAGCTATAAGCTCCCTAGTGCAAAGCGAGCTGTTACGATAGCTGCTTGCTCTCTTATCTCCACCAGCAGATCTTTAAGCACTTCCCACTGACACCTCTCCATCGCATCCCTCTGGGAGCAGGTGGGAGGGAGGACAGATAGTTGTTCACCAGCAGATGTGGAAAGCTGTTAGTGACCAGAGGGTGAACTCAACACACAACAACTTAATAGCAACCTTCAGATGCAACCCCTCTCCTGCTTCCACCACCCACAAGGCACCAGCTCGATTAACCTGAATTACACAGTCGTGAGTAAAATGCTCAACACTCAGTGAACCCAGAAGTCTGGCTTAATGGTGGGCACATCATGTGTTTTCTTGTCTCAAAGAACTGAAGGTCCCAGATTATTTACCTCATGCTGGCTCCCCAGCAGACGCTTGTGGACCATTGGCCATTAATTCCCATCATACACATTTTGGTGTGCATTTTTGGTCCAGGTTGGGCACCATCAGAACCAACAGGGTAATAGATAGCATAGCACTTACTCAGTGCTAGCATTGCTTGCAGAGCTCATGCCCACACCACGCTTGGTCCCACCTCTGTGCACAAGCAAGACACACTCACAGCCACTTAAAATACACCGGCAAGTAAAGAAATAGATAGAGCCGTCATAAAGGATGCTCTGACAAAGCAATGCAAACCCACAGCCTGCCAGCCTCGCTGCAGGGAGTGAATCCGTAATGCCTGAGGCTCAGGATCTCTTTATCTAGACAGGGATGGTTCAGAGCCTCAAACCACAGCAGCTCAGCTCTGTTTCCATCACCTGCAGACAAGAATACATGGGCACAACTCCCTCTCCTGCACGCTGATGACAATCCCTGGTCAGAGGCAGATAAAACTGAGCTTCTGCTAGTGTTCCATCTACATGCACTGATCCCAGCACCACAGGGCTCAACACTCAACCTCCGCTCCCTGTGCTCCAACAACACACTCCTTACAGAAGGAACCCTCAAGCACGGAGGTATGGAAGCAGACACCTTACCTGTCGCTCTGACATGATGTACAGATACTTCTGATCGATGGAGAAGGCCATGTCTCGAAGGACCGGGCTCCCGTCCTTGAAAACTGTCACCATCTCATACTGAATTCCACCATGGGGAGGACCATCTGCTCGGATCTGGAAGAAGCACAAAGAGATTACAGGTGATTTCATAGCAGCCAAACTCTGACGTTACTTTGGAAGGGAGGAGGATGAGGTAGGAAAAGGCATCTAATACAAAATCTCAGCACACAACCTGGAGACGCAGCAAAGAGCTGGCAAGCAACGTATGGGCTCAGGTAAAACAAAGGCTCCTTCTCCACAGCAGTTGGTGAATTCACAAAGAATGAGGCTCAATCTTCACCACCTCTTGTTGCCACAGAAGCCTCCTGCAACACCATCTCTGCCTTAAACTTGGGAGATGCTGCTGCCGTCCCATTACTTTCATATTTGCAGGATTCAGCAAGGTGAAACCAGCCCAGCCTGGGCTCCCAGTAGCCATCCACCCAGCCAAATGACAACTCCCTCCTCCTGCAGGAAAACCTGCCCAAGCTGTGACAAATCCCATCCCTGACAGGAGCGGCCGCTGTTGAGGATACGCCATCTCTCCCAAAAGTTAATGATTTATGGCCTTGGGGGCTGTGCAAAGGGGAAGGGAGGAGGATAAACAAATCATTTACATTGTCTTTCCCACCAGGATTTGCATATTTGGATAATCATTTGATTGCAACACGGTGTCTACAGAGCTGCAAACAGTGGCAGCCGCAGGCACGGAGGTGAGAGCAGACGGGTGAGCCAAGGCTGGACAACCTGCTCTAGTGGAAGGTGTCCCTGCCCATGGCAGGGGGTTGGAACTGGATGGGCTTTAAGGTCCCTTCAACCCAAACCATTCTAGGATTCTATACCATCTGCTACAGCCTCATGCTGAGCTGTGTTGCCTCGTCCCCTTTTGCTGCTCGATTACTCACTACTTGGCTGTGGTACAGAGGAAGAGGCACCAAGAACCAGCTTGGACAAGCCTGAGCCTTCAGAAGAGGCAGAACGGCGCAGCAGAAAGGGACATCTATTTTCCTGCTTCATGTGCCCAGGAGGTAAGAAGCAGGTTGTTAAGTATCTTAAGATTTATCTGAGAAACATGCCATCCCAGCTGGAAATACAAGGGTATCTTCACACTCACAGAGAAGAGAGGCTCCCCTGCACCCTCCTCCGAATAAATCCTCCTCTTGGAAAGAGCCCTGATGCCTCCTGCCATGTAAAGGCATACTGCATACACAAACATGTACTTCCTGGATTTCTTTTTCTCCTTGCCCTCTGAGTTCTGAGTGACATATAAGAACATCAGGTGTGAATCTGATTTAACACCCACAGGCAGATGCAGGCTGCCTCTGGCAGGATTAAGCAGGCAGCCCAAGCCTGGCTCAGGAGCCCTGAACTTTCAGAAAGGAAATTCCCACAGAAAAAGGCAGAAGGTCAAATCCTGCTTCAGCTGCACTGTCCAAATTAGGATATTTCAATGCTTTCATGAAACACTGAGAACTAGAGGCAGGTTGACACCAGGATGAGATCAGTGCCTTGCATCACACCACATTGCGATGCAAACCCAAGCGACCCATGCTGCTGCCAGAGCCACTGCTCGAGCGTGCACCACTGCTATCTCCATGCCAGCTCGTGCAATGGACATAGGGATAAGCCTGCAAAATCCCCTGGGGAATTAATAGCCAGGAGGCTGGGCTGTCAGTGACACACAGAGTCACTTCCACACAAGCACCTGATTAATGGGCCAAGGGGAATGGAAACACTGCACATGAAGGATCAGCAGCCTTTGTGAGAAACAACTGTTTTTCAGAGTTCCCTTGGGGCACCAGCAGCTCGTTAAATTGAGCTTCTTTCTAATAATGAGGTCAGACAGGGCTAATAAAGAGAGATACCACTGGACAAGCCTTGTGCAGGCCAATTCCAACTGGGAATTGTGGGTCTGTGCTGGAGACAGCACTACATCCATGATGCCTCCTCCAGCCTGGAGCTGTGCCTGGTATGGGTGTCCTGGGACACAGCTGGGGCCCTGCACAAGGTGCTGGGTGCTGCCTGCACCCTCCTGCCTCCCCCATCGGCAGGGGAAGCAGGCTGGGGTCTCTCACTGAGCCTGTCAACGTGAGATTGCTCCATGCTGTTCAGGGACTGCAGGACAAGAGAGCAGAGCCCACTGCTCTCCTGTCCCATGGGAGGACCATGGTGTGTGTCGTACCCACATGGGTACCCAGCGCATGGTGCCCGAGATGCACCCCCAGACACCAGGATGCTCCACTGCCTCTCTTCCTGAGGGTTTGGTTTCCATGACAACAAATGATGATGTCAGGGAAGAAGGATGATTCCTGTGAATGCGGAAGAAGAAAAAGGATCATCTCCACAGCAGGAAGCTTCTTGTTGATGTTTGGGGAGAGAAATAATTCCTCTGCCTAACTTGCAGGTGCTCTACCGGTGCCCAACATCTACTGACCCAGCAGCAGAACTGGGGCACAGTCCCAACCCTGCAGGTCTGGTTCACCCCTGAGCCCAGGCTCCAGGCACCAGTGATGCAAGAGAGCAGAAGTGCAGGATGGAGCTGGGCTGCTGGTGGCTGTGCTACTTTACGTCCACTAACAACTACCAGCTCTTCTTTTCTGACAACATGATCAAAGAACATGGGAAGGGTTTAGGAGAAAGACACAGAGGGAAGCAGGGCAGTTGGGAATGAGTGAGAGCACAGTGAAACAGGGAGCAGGTGGGTATGGGGAGAAGCACACGGGTGCAATGGAAACCAGAGGTATCCAGGATCAGAGACATGCTCAGCCACCTGAGAGACAGCCGAGACCCGGAGGACAGATCCCAGACTCACACACTTGGAGTTGGAGAAGTCATTTGGGAAGGATCACAGACGGGTTTCTGCTGGAAGGAACCTTAAAGCTAATTTAGATCCAATCCCCCACCATAAGCAAGGACACCTTCCACTGGAGCAGCTTGCTCCAGGCCCCTGTGTCCAACCTGGCCTTGAGCACTGCCAGGGATGGGGCAGCCCCAGCTTCTCTGGGCACCCTGTGCCAGCACCTCAGCACCTTCATAGTGAAGAATACAGCACTTTCCTAATCACTCTTGATAGATGTTTACAAATATGGCTCACGAAGTGCTAATGACAGCATCTGCAGATCCAAACAGCATCCCTGAAAAGTGAAACACCCAACATCCCTGCTCCACGTGATGGAGCAGAACGCTGCTCAAGTCAGGGAGCCTCAGCTTCCCTGCAAAGGCACCATGCAGACTTACGTGTCCAATTCCCCCACAGTACAGACTGCAGTCACCAGCTCTGCATTATCTTAAGAGATTAGCAAAACACCACATTGTGGCACGTCTACATTGCAGTGCAGCACCCATGTATAAGCCATTCAAGGATCCAACATGACAGGAAGCTCCAACACACCCACTGTACTAGTTTGCCAGGCATTTTGCCCAGCCTATGTCAGAGGTAAGATACGTCTGAATTCCCTTCCAGTTTCCCCCAGCAGGCTCCCATTAGAAGGCACTGAATCTGTAGGAACTTTCCATGATTAAATTACCTGTCTGTTTTCATTCTGAGTGTTTCAATGAGTCTGATTCATGATGAAATGACTGCTGCCAGAAGAACAGCTGAGTAAGCCCATGCATGAAGGGACTGATTCCCCACCCCAGATCCTAGATACGAGGCCACCCGTTAACTCCTCAAGAGCTGCAGCTCCTCCCAGTGTATGCAGGTACATGATGGGAGATGGATCCCTAAGCACCTTGCTGAGGGCTGCCTCCCATGGAGGCAGTGGACAGGATCCTGACATGATGCCCTAGGTCAGGAGGCACCACGCGCTGGCTGAGCATGTTTGTCTTCGTACCTAACGGTGGCAAAGCGAAAAGCCCAGTCAAGCCTGGAGCCTTAGGACTGCTCCTTTCATGCTAGGCCTTCCAGCCCTCCAGGGTGGATACTATCAAATAACATTGCATTTGTGTAAAACAGAACTCTATCAGCCCTGGGAATGCGCGCTGGAGCGTTACTGCATCTACTGCCTGAAACAGAAATCAAAGACAACACAGAGCAGCCTTCACGGCCAAGGTGCATCTCTGCAGATCTGCCACCTTTCTGCCACTGACACCTGCAGCTCTTGGGCATTTCCCATTCAAGCTTCCCATAAAGCTGCACCATGGATTTCTTGCTTCAGCACTGGAAATACAGTAGAAAAACTGCTACTGGCAGCAGGCTTCTGAATGAGGCTGGAGCATGGTATAGTGTAAATAGCCTTCCCCTACCTCCTGCTGTCCAGGGCTCTGTGGGGGCATTCCTACCTAGACCTGGTAATAGAGGAAGTTTCCACGTGCAAGATACTCAGCGATGCTAAAGACAGGACAAGATAAATCCATACGACTCCAGATTTTCTGTGTGCCTCCTCCAAATACTGCTTGCAAGAAGTATTTACTTTTACTAATCGGGTTCAATTAAAACCAGGCTATTCTACATTCACAGCAGCCTAAAAAGGGTGAGATGCACACGATGAGGTGGGTGCCACTTTTGCTGTCACCCTCTCAAACATCCTTTCTTGCAGTATCATTTTACAGGGTTACCAGTGCTGCTGATGGTTCTACACTCTCTGCCTCTGACACCCAAGGAGGAAAAGGCACAGCAATCTCTAGAAGAATCCAGAATAGAAATAACAAATCTTTATAAAAGAGGTTTCCCAGAGCCCTTCTGACCCTCTATGGAATTCTTTTGGGAGTAAAGTACCCCTTAGACTCCCTCAACATCAGCTGGGGAGGTGTAGCAGAGCCATTTGCAGGTTATTAGCAGACCACAGGGAAGCCAAGTGGTTTGCTGAGGATCGACACCCAGTCCCTGGGATCTGAATCTGCTAATGCAGACTCACGGCACCTGCCTGAACCTCTGAATAGGATTCCTCACCCTGTGTCCATCTGCAGGAAGAGAAACCCAGGCTGAAGATCTGGCTTTCCCTGCACACACCTTCCGCAGGCAGACTGGGAATCAGCTCACTGCTCTCTGCATGGGAAGTCACCCCCTTGAAATTAAAGTGAAATAGTAATCCCATTAAGTATGTTTCCTTTAAATCATAGGTATGTCCGTGAGG